TGAAGAGAGATAGCTTGGTCGGTCTTTTGTTGGTTCGGTCGTCGTGTTCAATCCCGTCGATCGGCTTTTGCTCGTAGAGTGGGTACCCAAAACACGCGATCGGCGATTACTCCTTTAGTTTTGCTCCGATGACCTTGGTTCAAGCATCAATTGGACCGGCTTGATGCGTGCTTCCGCTGAGATGCTTGTTTTGCTGAATCGGTCAAATCGATCGCCGATGCTCCGGTGCTTGTGTGAGCCGAAATTTTCCTGTTGGAGCCCACAGGCACCTCTGATAGTGAGGCTAGCCACTGTAATTCAGCACCTCTAGTTCAATTCCTGGTTACTCTATCTTTTTGGTCTTTACCATGGGCAAACTCAATACAAACAATCCAAAAACCTTTTTCTTCTCAGTGTTGGGTCTAATAACACTGCAGCTACTAGTAATATCAGGTTAATTGTTGATTTGGGCGAGCTGAGAAGAAAAAGTGATCTTTCTGGCTGGTCGCTTTGAAGTCTGGATCTGAGAATGCCAGTTTCCTTAAATCCTACGGTGGTGCGGTCTTTTTCTTATCCGGGTCCGCTAAATATCTAGACGGCCAACAAATAGGTTGAGGGTAGCTGAAAGCTATTGTTTGTTAACAAAATGCACTAGTAAAAGCTAGTGTAAAGATCTTTCGAGTTTTTGAGTTTGAGAGAATGAAAGTTATGAGAGGATTAGAAGCTATGAAAAACTAATCAACGAGAGAGATCCACAATCAAAGGATCGTAGATCTGAACTCCCGCGGGAGACTGTAGAGTGTGATAGAGTAGGTTGCGGTAGCAATCCTACTCACTCCACGATCCAAAAACGGAACGCGTGGAAGATTCGTCTAGCATTTATCTAGTAGCGTGGAATCTCTCCACGCCAGCTAAATATCTAGCGCGATGTTTCACCATCGACCTAGTATGACTAGCGGTCATGAGAACCCTGTCTCAATGACTATTCACGAAAGACTCAGTCATGAGTCGAACTCAAACCCTATCTAGGATCGAGTCGCGAATAAGGCTAAGAGCCGTGTATTGCACTCCTCTGAGTCCTCCACCCGACGATGTTTCGACATCCACCACTGCTTCATTGGGTCTCCTGCCGGCCAGTTCCGCTTCACTTCCGCTGATGCTACCCGTTTCCAAAAATTGTCCTGCCATACCTTCTCTGTGTACGGCAACGACCCACGGTTCTTCACCCACCCTTCACCGTTCACCAAGGATTGTCTCAAGAACGACGATGAACTCCTACCAGCTCTCCGTCGCGAAATTCTTCATGACCTCATCGGACTGAACCCAGACTCGAATCTCTTTCAACACATCTACCACGATTGTCAGCCTCTCCTCTTCAGCGCCCGCCTTTCCGTCAAATCTCCCAACACTGAACTTGTGCCGCTGACCGCTGCTTCACTTGCCGCTGCTCTCAGTGATGTCTCCAATTCCTTTGATCGGCACGGCTACGCCAAATCCCCCGTCCACATTTATATCCACACTGAGCACTCCGACATCGATCTCCTGACCAGCCTGCCTATTTATTGAGTGATTTTTACAGCACCCAACAATCGCCTTTTGTCCTTCCAATACCCCTCTATCCGACCGAAAAATTCAATATTTCAACCCCAACCCATCCCCTTCCCTTTTGCCTGCATTTTCTCCACCCCAACCCGAACCACCCTTGGACGCTGCCGCCCTACCACCCACAGCAACTCCTCGACAATCCACCCCGCATTCCGATCCCGCTGCTCAGGCACCCTTGGTTCCATCCCCTTCCATTTTGTTCCTCCAATTTTTTCCGGGGCAGACATTTCTCCCATTTCCAATCACGGGAGGGTTTCTCCTTCTTCCTCTCTTCTACTTCCGACAATAATCGCCCTTGCTCTGTGGCTCCCTCGGTCAACTCCCTTGCTGATGACGACCCAACAATTTACGCCACCAACACCCGTGCCACCCCTGCCTCCCACTCCTATTCTTCCAATTCTTCCTTGGCCACTCCAATTTCCTCTGTTCCATCATCAACGTTTGCGGATCCATCCGATTCCCCGGTTGCACGTCCAATTACAGCCTCTCCACTATGGCTGACAGTGATTCGTCCCATCCTGTTTCCCAATCTTCCCCCTTCCTCTCCTCCGCTGGACTACTCCTCTTCGTTGGACGATTCCACCACCAATGGTCCATACGACGAATCCTACTATGACGGCGATCCTTTCTACCAGCATACTGATGATCCCTCTCCCAGCGCATCATCCCCATCTGCTTCCATTGATGATCCCTCATCCCAACGTGCTTACATCGACACTGATAATCCCTCTCACAACGAATCATCTGCTTCCATCGACACCGACGATCCCACTTCCGACGAATCATCCCAACGTGCTTACATCGACACTGATGTTCCCTCTCCCTCTGAGTCATTCCCGCCTGATTACATCGGCAAATCCTACTACGACGATGCCAACGATCGATACCTTGATCCCAACACACTCCACCGTGATACTGACTTCGATTATTATTACGACAACAATGAAAATTGCTACCTCTACGACGATACCGACGACTACTTCACTGATTCGTACGGCAATTCTTATTTCTGATTCCCATGCACTCCATTCCTTTTTCCCATCACTCTTTTCGGTTCTGCTTCTCTCACTACTGGTCCTTTCTTCTTTCACGTCTTTTGATCTCCAATGCTATCCCATTCCAGATCACGGGAGGGTGTTGCACGAAGGACAGACCAAATAGCTAGATAAGCAGCAACACTGCACTCTCACTTATCCTTTAGCATGACATTACACTGATTGATAGGTCTCTTGACAAGAGCTAGAGGTTTGGAATTTTGCCCTGGAGGTGCCCACTCCCTACCAGTAGCTCCTACTAGCTAGCTTGAGGTGTGAACTCTAGGTACCGGTACCGGTAGAGGTACGGTACGGTACGGTACGCACACTAGAGGCGCGGATAGTTCTGTCCCAGAGGTGCACACCCTGGAGGTGGCTGCAGAATTCATGCATTTGATGAGACGTCGAGTCCCCTACCGGTACATTGCTCTACGATGTACTTCTTAGACAACGTTGATTTCCTTTCTTATCTGAAAAATTTCCAATGGGTTGCCAGATCTCAGGCCCTGCCAGCACCGCTGTGAACTGTTGAGGATGAGCGATCGTGGCTATGGGGAGCTAGACAAGTTGCTACTGTATTTATGTTACCAACAAAATAGTAGGAGTGTTGGGACCATTCCATGCAGGCAGGAAGAAGAACAGAACAAGGACAAAGGCAAACCCTGTTGTTGGGGGCAGCAGGCTGGAGGTGCTGCAGGCAGAAAGTCAGAGGAATGTTCAATTCAGAGCCGACAAACTTTGGCTGCGTTGGGGTCCCTTCGGACAATGGCCAGCATCGGTGCAAGGCAAACCCAATTTCTGCGTCGATAGATAGGATAGGGTTGATCGTTCATAGATTCCAAAGGCTGACGGAATTCTGGCAGCCATGACACTGACCATCAGCGCTTCTCTTGTGTCTTCCAGCTGTAACCATAGAGTGACTGGGGGCTTGACTAAAGTCGGGTGCAGTTGGCGTGGAGCCGCAAGGGTTGTCACGCCGTTATGAAGTGGGATCACAGGTGTCACTTAGCTGTATTGTGGTGTCACGCTGGCTACCGGTACCAGTACCGGTATTATATTACATGCGCTTTGAAATTGAGACTTGGCACTTGGCAGCACTGCAACGCACGGAAGTATTGAAGGAAGTGTGCCCTTTCTTTGACGGTTATCACATTCCTTTGCCGCCCGCGGGAATAGGATGATGCTACATCTTTTAGGTGCCGACGGCACGGTAGCCGATCAAACGTACGATAGAACAAAAAGGGTATCATCGTACCGGCTAGTTTTTGATTTTTTAAAATAGCGCAAGGATTCCCGTAAAGATAAAAGAGTCTTGTGGAGGTTGATGGCTAAAAAGGAGGATTTGATGACTGCTTTGAGTGGTGAGCTTATGTCTTTGCTAGTTTTTTGACGCTGAAGATGTCTTTTGACATTTGACATCCATCCAAGAGACCGCAGACGGCACCAGGAAGAAGCAGTCAAAGTGCGTTCCTTCCTTCTTCCAATACCCCAGCAGCACCAAGGGTAGCAAGGGTGGCAGCGTCTATCTTTCTCACTCGACAGCTACCAGTACAAGACTTCTTGATTATCTTTCAACCAGGAGATAACAACTGGCTAGCTACCCAGCTAGCTAGTAGTAGCTACCGTTCGGTCCAATGGAAACCTACAAAGATGAGCCGTCCAATTCCAACTCGGAGCAGGATCTGGGGGTGGAAATAGGCATCAATGAAGGCGACTCACGACGAGGAGTCACCAGCCTCACGGTGATGATAGGGTCATGGGACTCTGAGGCTGAGATCAACACGGATTATGGATATCACAGTTTAGGATTGGAAGAGGGATCAGCCTTGGAGGGGTCCCAATCCACGTCTTTTACAGGAACATCCTTACTGACGGGCGTTGCGGAAGAACCGGAGGAGGAAGAAGAAGGAGGAGAAGATGTTATTGAGGGTGATCCAGAGTCGCCGGAGGATCTTCCTGGTGACGAGGAGGAGGGCTTGGAAGTAGATTCTGTGGTGCAACCCCTCGAGCAGGCACCACGAGAAGACCAGGAAGGTCCTCTGCCACTGGATGCCAGCAAGCCCCCTGTAAAGAGAAGGATGGTATCTTTCAACGCGGACATCCCAGACGACGACGAAGGCGAAGAGGATGACCAATTTCCGATGGAGCAAGAACAATTCCTTCAAGAGGATCTCTCAGATGAGTCAGAGGGAGCAGAAACTATTGACTTCTTGCTGGATCCGTTGGAGGAAATGACATGGGGCCGTCGGATTGCCCTATCCATGATGCACAAGTACAGCTGGTACAATCCCTATCTCGGGAAAGAGATGGACTTCCAAAAAGACAGTCAAGACGATTTTTCGTATGCCAGTTCTGACAGAGGCCTGAAGAAGAGCTCTTTGAAAAGGTCCAAGAGACATTTGGTAGAAACGACAGAAAAGGAAATCCCTTCCCTCGAAAAAGCTTGGACCTTCTTCGAGCACATCACGCTACCCCGATATCTCTACAACGAAAAGGCCGATGCGGCAACTCAAGAGAGATGTTTGGTCAGAACTTGCCGTGATTTGCTTTTCTTAAGCGGCAAGACTAAGGAGACATTCCCCATGTCCATCATGGGCGAGAGGCATCTCGCTACGCGGCTCTACGACCCAAAGATTACTCCTGTCTCGCAAATGGGTGTAAGTTTTGTTCTCTTCTTTTTTCGCCACTTTCGCCGAGCATTTGGTACCGTACGATGGTGACTAACGGATTTGAGTTGCCATTGAAACCCTCTTGCAGAACTTTGGTTTGGGTGTTGGACTCTACTTCTCCACACTCAGAGCTTTGATGTTCCTTACCTTCATTTGCGGGCTCATGAGTATTCCGAACTTTGTCTTCTACAGCAGTGCCGAGTACAGTCAGGAGCAACCCAATGTTTCGACTCTGCTGAAGGGATCAGCCATCTGCACTAACACAAAGTGGGTGCCATGCCCCGATTGTGGTACGGATGTTGTGACTGCTTTGAACACCATCAGCGCTGGTAAGTGCAGGGAAAGCCCATATCCTGGGACTACTGCTATGTTTGCGCTTGTCGCTTTCACTTCGTTGGTTGGAAAAGCTCACCTACTCGCCTTTGCCGCAAAACCACCAGTAGGCAGGGATGATATGGACCTGCAGCGTACTGGTTTCGTTGTTGCGAATGTAACAAGTGAGAACGAGGACGGATCGTCGACAAAGTCGTCCCAGTTTTTGTTCTTCGCGCTGCGTAATCTCTGTACCGGAGCTACAATCGAAAATGGAATGGTCAGTTTCGGTACTCTTTTGCTTTTCGTCTTTGGAATGATTGTCTTGAATGTTTATCTGGCCAACGTTGAGATCAGTCTTATCGAGGAAATGCAGAGAGCATCCAACTATGCCATCATGATCTCAAACCCTCCAGCGGACGCAAGGGATCCTGAAGAATGGAAGCAGTTCTTCGAGGAAGCATTCGAGGATGCACACGTGACAACTTGCACCGTTGCCGTAGACAATGATCTTCTTGTGAAAACGTTGGTCGAACGGCGTGAATGCATGAAAGCACTAAAGTCCCAGCTGCCGCCTGGAACGAGGCTGGACACTCTGACGCTTGCACGAGTGTCGGCGGAAAGCGAAAGGAACCGCAAAGGATTCGAGAAGATGATAATTCCGTTTTTCCCGGGCGTCCCTGAGCTTTACGGACGTGTTGCATCACTAAATATCAAGTGTCAGGGACTTGCCCAACTCAATCACGATGCCAAGAAAGTCTACGTCGTCTTCGAAAAGGAAGCATCGCAGCGAGAAGCAATGAAGGCGCTCACCGTTGGGCATCTCCAGACGAAAAGAAACGACACGAGTGCTTTGAAGGATCCAAAGTTTTTATTCCGAGGCAAGCACGTGCTGCGAGTCAAGCAGCCAGATGAACCCAGTAGCATCCGCTGGCAGGACATGAATGCACCCTATCGGCTGAGGGTCAAGCAACAAACGACAACATTCCTCCTGACCGGAGGTTCCATTGCCGGCATAGCCGTCATCATTACGACCTTGAGCAACATTGAACCCTTGTACGGTACTGCTGCAATTGCTACTGCAAACGTATGTTTCCCTGAAGTGGCCAAGTGGGTCGTCTCTCGGTATGAAGCCCACAGAACAGCAGAAGACAAGCAAGTCTCACTTTACTTCAAGATTTCAGCATCGAGAATTGTCAACACATCCATTCTACTGACAATCATCACTCCTTTCACACGTACGCTTAACAACGATGATGGATTGATCTACCTTGTCTACAGCCAGTTCTTGGCAGAGATTGTGTCAGCAAACTTCTTGCAACTTACGGACATGTGGGAGAACTTCAAGCGACATTGCATAGCGCCGAGAATGCCATCTCAAGACGGAATGAATCTGCAGATGAAGGGCTATCCTATGGAACTCGCAGAGCGATACACCAACATTACAAAGTTGGTCTGTCTCTGTGTGTGGTACTATTCCATTTTCCCGGCCGCTTTCTTCTTGTGCTCTCTCTCGTTGTATATCAACATCTACGTTGACAAGTAAGTTGCAATTCGGGGCTGTCTATCCTCTCGCCAAAAGAACTGATCTGACGGATCGCGTGCTGTTCGAATGTCGGGTTCAGGTTTGCAGTGATGCGATGCTGGAAGCGAGCCCCTAAGCTCGGAACGAAGCTGTCTCGAGTCTCGAGAAGGTTTGTTTTTACTTGGATGGTTGTGGTGATGATTGTGGTGTCAGGTTTCTTCTACGCAGGCTTTCCGTTCGATCAGCTCTGCCAAACGGAAGGCGAAACCATTGATTCATCCTACGTGGGCGAATGGGAGATCACAACAATCGAATCAACGCTCAATGAAAACCAAGCATGGTGGTTGGGTTACTGGAATTCAGAAGAAGAAGATCAGACTATCCATGTTGTCGTGAACGAAGGCGATCCTGCCTTCCATGTCTGCCCGCAGAGCTTTTTACGTGGTTTCTGGGAAGAGGGAGAGTCATTTTTCTCGGAGGATCAGCAAACTCTAGTGTACGTGTATGGCTATGCGAGTTGCTTTCTCTGTGCGGGTCTTCTTCTTTGGTGGTTCTTGTCGTTTCTTGCAAGTTTTCGCGGGCTTTTCCGCGGTAGATACAAAGAGGTAAGACTCATCAATGATGCTCGATTGATGTGTCGTGTCGCTCGGCTGATCCGTGTCATTTTTGCTATTCCTATAGCCCAAACGTCGAGACAGGGGCATTTCCTTCAGTGACGTCGATTTAATTTCGACGTACATTCCTCAAGTGAAGAGCACATATTTTTCGTACCCACTTCTGGTGTGCGATGTGGAACAAGTAAAGGACGAGACTTTGTTTAGCTGGAACGATCCCGACTGCTTTTACGAAGACTACGACTTGACCAAAGACGCCAAGAAACTCATCCACGGCCTTGACCTCGGAGAAAAGGTTGTCTTCAGTCAAATCGGACATTGGCCGCCCATCAGGGACGAAAATTTCGTTATGGGCGACGAGAGCGAATTTTTGGAACACGATGTTCTGGGAGAAACATTTGCAACTGTCGTGGCTCCGGCGCTCAAATCGTTGAAGCTTACCTCAACGGCAACAAAAGTGGCCGCGAAAACCTCTGCCATGGCCGCCAAGACTTCTGCTGTCGCAGCCAAGTCAGCAACGAAAGTGGCAGCAAAAACTACGAAAGCTGCGACGAAAGCAACGGCCAAGGCGTCCGCCCACGCGGCCGCTGCCACCACAAAGGCGACTATGAAAGGTATGAATGCCACCACCAAGGCGACGATGAAAGGTGTCAATGCCACTGCTAAGGGTACAATGAAAGGTATGAATGCCACTGCTAAGGGCACAATGAAAGGTATGAATGCCACAACAAAGGCAACGATGAAAGGTATGAATGCTACCACCAAGGCAACGATGAAAGGCGTCAACGTCACAACCAAAGTCACGGCCAGTGCAGCGAAGTTCACGGGCAAGACGGCTCTTAAAACGACCTCCCAAATGGCAAAGACGAGTGGCAAGCTTGCTGGAAAGACAGGCAAGCTTGCTGGGAAGTCAGCATCCTTCGCAACCAATGCTACTGCCGGTTCACTTTCGGCGGCTTCATCGCTTGCAAAGAAATCTGGAAAGATGACTACGTCGCTGGCAAGGTCGACCGCAAAGTCGACCAGGAATGTGGCGGGCAAGTCCTTCAAAGCGGCATCATCTGTCGCCAGGATGGATGCCGCAAAAAGCTCTCGCAACTTTCTTACCAAGTCAATGCGGAGCATGGGATCCTTTTCGGATGATGATATGGATGATAGTGACATGGAATCGGTCGCAGATGAAAGTGAAGACGAGGAGGAAGAGGTAGAGCGATTGACTCTTCTTCCTGGTGAAGCGTTCTAACGGGAGGTATGAGACAAGACAACCTTGTGATTATGAGGCAATGTTTCTCTGTCTTGGAAGCTCCTTGACCAATGGATTCGATTGAATTGGGTCCACCAAAGTCGCGCGTTTGTCTAGAAAATGATCTCCATCGACCCTGAGTATCCTGTGCATTTCCTACCTCCCGACTTCCATACGTTACATTGGATATTTGTCATGCACGTGTTCGCAGCATCAGCATCGATCGAGGAATGGTCGGTTCATTATTTAGTTTTAGTTTAGTAGCACATCTATTGTTATACGATTTCTATTGTTACCTTAGTTTTCTACGACGATCGGTAGTGCTTAGTGTAGATGACACTCTCTGTTTTCGTTAATGGTCTCGAGTTGAACGATGAATTGATTCGATCCAGAGGAATGAAGCCTCAGCGCGCTCTATAAAGCTTCCAGTAAAAAGCAGACCATCGCAGACAGCGCTCACTCTTGCCGTCCTAGTATCGTTGCATGGGAGGACAGAGCATTTCCGCGAGCTCCTTCTGGTATTTGGCCAATGCCTTCTTTTCCTTCTTCTTCCATTTCTTCTTGGCCACCACAGCGCAAGTGAAGCCCGCAACGACACCAACTACCGGGCCGACCAGAAGAAGACCGGCCACACCGCTAAAGATGCCCACCACCACCACCGTTTGCTTCCGTTCTTCCTTCATTGACAATGTGTCTGGAGGTGGTGGGATGCCATTGATGATTGCACCACAGGCAGAAGTTCCTTCCCAATAATGCTCTTGTTGCTTGCTAATCATCATGCTTGTGGGATTCTGTGGTTCTACCTCGTTGCTGTCTCCACCACAACTTTTGCTGGACGGAACGCCGGTCAATTCCATGGCTGTATCCTTCATTGCTTTTGCTGTCAAGAATAAATGTGCTTTTGCATTGTTACCCATCGCAGGCTATGGTGCTTGTCTATCTTTAGTCGAAGCGCCAAGTGTCACGCGGGGAAATGGGACCCCACTCTGAATCCATTCATTCGTTCTTGGTTCGTGGGACACCCCATGTGCTTCCTCTCTCTGTCCCTTCGTTGAGTCCTGATCTCCATGATACTTGCTAGGCACAACTTCTCTCAAGCAGAACAAGATACAATTTTTCACAAGGGAGCAGAAAGTTCTTCTCGGGGCTAATGTATGTGAGCAACCCGTACCATATATCGCTGCCAACGCGGGAAACGAAGGTACCAAGCCAAACTACATGTATATTGAGGCTTCGATCCTAGATGGTATGGGATGTCTAAAAAGTTTCTAAAATTAAAATGCCTACTGTTAGCGGGGAACCAGAAGTTTTCTGGCTATGCTAGTACGCCAGTAGGCCGTCGCAACAGGTCAATGTCGTTCGAGCCATTGGACTTCCAAAACAGACACTTGGAACTAGCCATTCTTCCGTAGATCTTTACCGAGATCATGCCGCTACGGCGTCGCTTCACGGGTTTGTCAGAAGAGTGAGCCATAGGATAGGACCGTATTCTTATGCAATCAGTAGCAAAAAAAGCTGATGGTTCTTCTCCTTCGCTGGACTGAGACTCGTCGAAACAGTCTTCGGGATTTGGGATGCGGGTGGGAAATTGGTCTGGCTGGCAGGTGGGTTCAGGGACTGCAAATTGGATTTGCGAAAGCTCTGTCATTGTTGGAGGTTTGGGGGCTCTATTAGTTTCGATGACAGCAATCTGTTTGCACATAACCATTCGCTAAAGCGGTGTGAAAGGGGAGAAAGAGTTGGTTGGAGGGAGAAAGAGAGTGTTGATGTCCTTCGATTTTGTGAGGGGAAACTGGATTCTTGTAAGCCAAGTTTCGTTGGCACGAATGATTTTGAAGTGGCATTCAGCTTCGTCACAGCACAATCCCACAAGATAATCTCAGGAAGTCGCCGGAAAAAAGTCGCCAAGCCGCAAGTTACTCTGAGCACGAAGAGCTGCACGAAGAGGGCAATGTACTGAATGCTCCTGGCTTTATGGCGTCTGCTGGTGTCTGAATGCTCTTCAGCAACCGCTGTGTCTGAGCGTAATAATGTGTGCAGGCCCATTCGCAAGCCGAAGCCGGTTGTCGACTGTTGTTCCAAGAAAACAAGAAATCGCTGAACCTTGATGTGGCTTTGCGGCTTCACCGTACTATTTTACAAGAACAAACCATGGCCAGCCAGTACAGTGTAGTGCTGACGAAGGTGCTGTAGCCTTGGTCGACAGTAGAAGAACCGACAAGGCAGACAGGAATTACTAGCTATTGTGAAGGGCTCCATTGGTATTCTTCTGTTTAGTGCAAACTGGCTGTTCACACGCATTCTAGCATTGGACTGCCAGGGTTCAGCAATGACAAAGTTACCAACACAAAGGGGTCCATCACATCCAAGGTTGTGTGTGTGGCAACCGCACATCCGAAGATGCTATCATCATGATGATTCAGAAGCATCATAGTACCTAAACCAGTGAGCCCACCGTTGACTTCAGCGGTCCTCTGCTTGCACAGAAGATTTGACACATGCTCAAGGGCTTGGGGCCCGCCCAGGAAAGAGAGTACTGGTACCGGTACGGCTTTCCTTGTTTGGACGCAGAAGCGGAGTGGTCTTGAGGGCCCTAAGGTTAAAGCAAAGCTCTTCTATGTTCATGCAATGTCCCAATCCACTCTGTAATAGACATATCAGGCTGTGATCGGTGTTCAAGCAAGCCATGTTTTAGGAAAGAAAAGCAAGACAAAGAGCGAGAAGACTCCTCCACTAGCTACATGTAGCTAGACTGGCTTCGCAGTGCAAGCCATGCAAGTGTCGCCTCAGCACGTTAGGCGAAGAGTTAACCCGGTATAACTTTGTAACTATGTTTGGTTATTATGTACTCTAGTATTCACAGGAAGATGCCTTGGGGTGTAGTGGTAATCAAGCCAAATAAAAACAGTGCTTGAACCTCTACACCACCAAAGGAATATATGTCTTGGGTTGTAGGAGGAGAGAATCATGGAGGTTCGTTGGCAAATGGTGTGTACAAAAGTGATTGCCAATTGACCCCGATGTTCTCTTTGTTTGCTTGTTGTATGTTCATTTCAGTAGGTTTGTTTTGTATGTCGGTTGGAAAAGTAGGAATGGCAAGTCTCGGGAGCGCCGCAAAAAGTAAATATAAACAAATTGCAGGGAGGGCAGGTAGAGAAGGGCGCGGCACTCGAGAGACGCCAGCAAAAAAATACATTTTCAGCGGTTTCGTTTAGCCCATGACACCACAGTGGAGGCGCATGGCAGGAATAGAGGCTTCCAAGATGGGAGGAAGAGGAGGAATCTCCAGAGCATCAATGACATCGTCTTCATCATCATCACTATCCATGGCACTTTCCAACATGGCCATGTCGGAATCTTGGAGAGAGGCTTCCTCGCCACTGCTGCTGTCGGCCGAGTCATCGTCCGTGACAGCAGGAGCTTCGGGTTGTTCCTCGACCAAGGCGACCATGTAGTGCGAAAAGTAGCTGCGGTCCATGTTTCCCTTTTGGTTCTCGGGTCCGACCACAGCCACCTTGATGCGGGCGTCCATGGAATCAGCAGTTGCCTTATGATACTGATTCAAGCTGGTGACTTGTTCGTGCAAGCTGGTCAAGGCAGAAGCCTTGGCAGTGGTTGCCTTGAGGACCTTGTCCTGGATGACCTCGTGAAAGGGCTTTCCGAGGATATCGGCAGGGGAAAGGCCAGTCTTTTCCGTGTAGGCAGGATTGGCGTGGACCACCAAAAAGGGAGCAAAGGAAAGTGTCACCAATCTGAAAGAGCGAAAGAATAAAGCTGAGTGAGTGAAGGGTCACAAAACGCAATGGACAGCCAGCCAGAGCAACAGCAGAACAGAACATACCTGGCTTCGTTGCTATTCTCGAAAGCTTCACGGATGGTGATGGGATTGGCATAGATAGCACGGCGCTGAGAGTCAGTCGCCACGGAAGCAGCGGTATCTTCTTCGGGAGTGGTAACTTTGCAAGCAGCTCGTTGGGTCTTCTGAAGCAATGCGTCCTCGAGACGAGCAGGAATGACAATGGAATCTCCGTCACTGCTGATGTTGCTCTTGTTGTCGGAACAAATGGAGCTACCACTGCTAACGACAGTGGTACCGGAGTGGTTCTTGGTAGTTCCGTAGCTGTCGAAAGTGGCCGCAAAGAGGTTTCCAAAGTCAATCATGGTGGCTGCCTTGCTGCAGCTGGGGCCCACGGCGTTCGTCAAAAAGGGAGACGACGCGACCGACTTGGCACAGACACGCTTGACGGCCTGCTTGGTGGCCTTTTCTCCAAGATCGATGTGATGGCTCAAAGACGCATCGAGAGAGGGAAAGGGCAAGCCACTCTTGGCCAAGTCCTCCTTGACATGACTGGCTGCAAAGGACAGCTCGTCAATCTTGCGGCGCTTGAAGCAGCCTTGGTCTTGTTGCGCATTATGGGGATTCACCTTGCGACGGCCTCCTTGGGAAATCTGATGGAGCTTCTCCGTACACGCCGTAATACTCGTCATGGGCTCGTCAGGTTGACTTCCGTTGGGACTTACCACGGCGCTGGATCGGCAGCCAGCCAAATCGGCAAAGATCTTCTTGGTTTGATAGGCACTGGTTGGGGCATTGTAATTGTGGCCCCGCATCAGTCTAGCGCTCAGTTCAGACACCATTGTCAGTTTTTCGTCGTGTTCTTGTTGCTTCCGCGTTGAATGTGGATTGTTGCTTAGGTTGAGAGAGGGGTCCTTGGTTGACCTCTTCTCGGCTGGTTCGCTTTTGTTGTTGATGGGTTGGGAAGGTATGAGATGGCTGAGATGGATGTTGGGAGCCTCCTTCGATGCAGCTTCGAAGTGAAGCCTCTTCGGTTCTTGGCGCTGACGGTAGCCCCTTGACTACTTCCATCATCTGACGTCTGTCACGACGGCTGCAAAATTATTTAAGGGATTTGAACAGAGGCTCAAAAACAGATGAGGTCTGCATGCGTCAGCTTCTTTTTAGCAAATGGAAATGCCGCACCTGGGGGCCTTTCCCTTTTTTTAACCTCAACCGCCATATTGCGACAATATTGGGCCTGGTTTCCTTTGATGTCGCCTGACCACCGGTACTGCTACAGTACACTGCTACATGTCCCTGTACCTGAACTTTCTAGCTACTAGTAGTAGCTAGCTATTAGAGTACTGTAGTATGTCTAGTAGATAGACAGAGTACGAACAAGATCAGATAGATAGAGTACAAGATCCCTCAAGCCTACAATCATCACAAGTCGTCATTACCCAAGTGGTACCAGGTACTCGTTATCGCCACGCCACTCGGAGCAATCAATAGCTTCAAGGGTTTCTATAACTGATGAGCTCTGATGCCATGCTACCCTTCTCACTCAAGATCCAAAAAGGGGCCTACCGGCATCTCACGGCAACAAGTGGCCCTGCTTGGTGATGGATTGTAAAGACGTCAAGGGATAAAAGAAGCATGGGAAAGCGAAGAGTTTGGGAAAAGAACCTTTCAGGCGGCGAAGCAAATGGATATCAATGCTGTTGATGTAGTTAGTAGTTAGTTACTTGGCTCTTGCCGATCCCTCGCTCACTCAGTGAATATTCGCTTCAACTCAGCCTTTCCTACGTATATGTACTAGCTAGTAAGGCTTGCAGATCATCGAGCTTTGGCTTGATGCACACAACTTCTTGAGCTTTCAAAACATCTACTGGTTTACAGTTGCAGCTGAAATAGTAGAAGGGTAAACAGATTGATCTATTGAAATAATGTATTGCCAATTTACTAGTATGGAAGAAGTAGCAGTGATCATGTGAATGGCAGGATGTATACATAGCCATCCACAGTTTGTCGTTCCTTCAGGCAGGGTTAATAACATGGTTGTTGCTTGAGGAGGTTGCTTTGGTTCTTTTTCTTTTCTGTACAAAGAAGTCCATTTAGAAGTTGTTTCGTTTGTGCATTGGTCGATCTGGTTTCTTTTTGTAAATACAAGAGCAGTTCGTGTTTGTTTGTGTACATCTCGCTGTTGTCTCTCTCTTTATCCCATGACCATGGAGGGTAGAGAGTTCTTGGGAACTGATGTCACGATGGGTTGAGAGGCAGCAAAGTTGGGCATTTCCTGATTGTTGGTAGGCTGCAAGGCAATCATGCAATGTGTAGCCGGCGTCTTGTCATTTGGATCGCCCACATGGGAGACCTTGAGGCTGCAATGACATCGCTTGTCTTGTCGGATCGTGGAAATGCTGGTGAGCTGACCATGCATGGAAGCCAAGGAGGAGACATGGGCTGCCATGGCTTTGCATCGCTTGTCCTTGAAAACATCACGAAATGCCTTTCCCAGCACGTCCTTGGCCGCCAGACCTGTCATGCGAGAATAGGCGGCATTGACATGGATGATGATAAAGGGAGCAAAGGACAGTGTCACCAGTCTGCAGTAACACAAAAAGGAGAACAAATCATAAAATAGATGAGACCAACAATCCACAAAGATTCAAAAAGAGACAAAACAAGTGATTCAAATGCTCAAAAGAACTTACCTTGGCTCACTGCTGTTTTCCAAGGCATTCCCCATTGCAATGGTCTCGAGTGTAACGGCAGCCGCCTTGCGACTGTCGTGCTCGGTAGACTTGTATTTGAGAGCATCTTCCAGGAGAGGAGGGATATCCACCACGCAACTGGATTCGCTGTCAGAGGTTAGGGAACCGGCACTGCTCTTGTCACCCCAGTCTGATACGTCTCCCTGAATCCATCGCTTGGAGTATACCTTTTGTGTCTCAGCAAAGAGCTGTTCAATGTCACAAAGAGATTGGTAGGGTCGTTTCATTGTAATCTTGGTGAGAAAGGGAGATGCTTCGACGGACTTGGAATTCAAGAGCTGAACGTTGCTCATGTCAATGTCGTAACCTTCCAATGCACGGGGCTTTTTGGCGTGGATAGAGGGGAAAGGAAGCCCTCCCTTTTCCAGGTCACCCTTCACCTTGCTAGCAGCAAATCGAAGCTCATCAATCTTGCGTCGCTTGAAGCAGGCATCCCGGTTGCTCAGGCGTTCCGTTTCATCGTTGCTTTCGTGACTGGGGGAAGAAGAGGAAGTGGTGCTCCGAGCAGGGAGTCCTATTCGTGTACTCTCCACTGTTTTTCGACTTTCTTGCTCTCCAATGGAGCTTCCACCGCTTGATGAAGAATTGCTGCTACTGATATCTGATGTCCGCTTTCCCGTTCTTGCCGAGGCGGTAGTGTAAGTAATATTGTACCCCTTTAGGAGTCTGGCACTGAGTTCCGATACCATTGTCTTGGCTTCTGGTGTAGATAATATGTTGTTGGTAGTCTTGTTGTTGTGTTTTGCTTTGGTTGTTGGCGTTTTGTGTGCATTGATTGATACCCAATATCGTGAAGCTTCCCGTCCTCGTTTTGGGTTCGGAAGTGCAGATAGTTACTGTGAGGTGGGCACCCTCCAGAACACGGCGGATGACGTCTTATGGAGGGCGAATAAGAGACAGTTGCTCCATGAGGCATTAATTAACAGACAGATGCACCCATTTAGATGATGTCATCTTACATTTGTCTTACCCCCGCCACATCATATTTTAAGCCAATCAAAAGCATTCGCAAATGTCGCAAGGGCACCCCAGTTCAACAAACAGCTTGGCTTTTCCAACACTGCCACTGCCGTACTGCAGTGCCAGAACACAACAAATGGAAAGGAGAAGGCCTAAATCGTGCCAGCTCTTCGTATCACCAAGACTCGTCAGATGACGGACTTCAAAAAGAAGGTAGACCACAAGCGCACGAGTTGCCGGCCAGCTAGCTAGCTTCTGGTACCAGTATCATAGCTGGGATTTGATCTATCTAGGTCTGGGCGGATGAGGTCTGCTACAGTTGGGTTGGGTCTGCCACAGTTGGGTTGGGACTGCTATCAGGGAAACAAATGGTGCGAGAAAAGATGAGGCTGATACATCGGAAGCAACTGGGTTGGGGGGGGGCTCAAGTTTTATTAAAGTGAGCTCGATTCCTTTCTTATTGCTTTTATAGATCAAGATTCGATGCATGCATATTTTGCTTCCACCAACACTGCCTGTAAGAAATCTGTTTGGAACATCTCCTTGGCCATTGTTCCTTAAAATCCAGCATTATCCAGCCCTTTCATGGAGGCAAACAGAGCTTTCTAGCCAGTGGAGATAAAGAGGACGTGATAGCAGTTGCTGCAGGCCTCTTGTTGGTTGACCCGCACGTGAATTATTACCTGGAATTTTGGTTGCAGCTGGTCACAGGCGGGACTAGACGACCTCTACAGCTTTCATTTAGAATTCTCGTTTGCTTCCGCTATGGAAACCTCGTCATCCCAAATGGTAAACTTCATGTTAATTAAATGCATCCACGTCATTCGCACTGCTACAACTGTCTCTTATGACCACAAAGTCGCACTTACCCACGGATGCCACGCAAGGTTAATGCAAGGCTTTGATTGGCTAGAGCGAAGAATGCGAGTTCTTTCGGCTTTCACAGCCACCCCTCCCAACCCACTAGCTCAAGGAACAACACTAACACACGGTCAAAAAAAGTCAAACACAAGCTGCCTCCAAGACTCTTCTCTTCCCTCTATTGCAACAACAAGAAACCAAAGCAAAGGTTATGACAATGCCGTGTCAACAGACAATCCTACCGATGCCAATTGCTAGCGAAAGCAACAGTAGCTCCTCGTCGAACGAGTGCAAATTGAATAACGACAAGCAAATGAGTGCCAACAGTGGTTACTCGGCGGATGGTAGCTCCGCCGCTGCTACCAACAGTCCACCTGTGTATATTGGCTTTAGGGGCGCTAATAAAAAGGATGATGGTGTCACACAGAGTAACCGTAGAGAGGCAACAGAGCTCAGTTTCCGGGCTTCCAGGGCCAAAGAGGACCTGAAAAAGGGTGGTCTTCCCATTCCTAAAATCCAGATTGAAGCCAGTCGGTCTCTCGAAGGATGCAAGGTCGACATGAGCAAAGTCAAGTTGGTGACTGCCAAGAGTGTCAGTCAATCTGCCTTTCTGATTGACAAGACAAAATACGTCGTGCCTCAGTGTGCACAGGAATACAACCGTCTCTTTGTCGCCACCTATCAATCTTATGAAAAGAACGATGCATCGCAGTGGGATAGCAGTACATCCTCCGTGACATCGTCCGAAAGTGAGGACGCGAATAGCATGCCTCCACCAGCCCTGGTGCTGCCGCCTCGTTTGGAAGATGCTCTAAAGGCCAACGAGACTCTCAAAAGGAGAAACAACAGTGGCCGGTCCAAACGCAAACGCGTCTCGGATGACAACGCTCCCAAATTAAAGCATGTCACTGTCAACGATGCACTAGAGGCATCTCTTGACGCCAGGTACACAAGCTGTCTTGCTCTGCCATATTTGAAATGTTGCGATGAAGAAATTGACTGACAAGTTTGTTTTCTCCCTCCCTTTTTGAAATGTTTCTTTCCTTCTCATCTTCGCCTCTTCTTGGAATGCCCTTTTCCTTTGCGTGATTTGCAATTTCCATTACATTATAAACCTCAGAGTGGTGACTCTCTCATTGGCTCCCTACATTGTGGTTCATGTCAACACGGCATACACTCGGTTGACAGGGTTCTCCTCTGCCACAGTGCTGGGCAAGCCACTGGTAGATTGTCTCAGTCCCAGCTGCAAAGATTGGATCAAATGTAGCGTTGCTACGCATCCCATTTCCGCATTGCACGATCGAGTCGCCCCAATACGGGCCAAGGGAACGAACAAGCACGACTGCTGTTGTCGCCTGCAAGCCACTCTGGTAGGTCCACAGCTGGAAGGCAAAAAGGAGGTAGATACCAGTTCGGTGACCCATTATGCCGTGTGTTTTAAACCATTGCCGACGACAAATCACAATGATCCATCAGCCGTCAAGAAACCCAAGATTGCAGAATCATCCGACCCCAAGAAAACCCCGAGTGATAACGCTAGTCGCATCATGGGGTAGAAAGCAAGTTGTTGGGGTTTGTTACATGTTCTTTATAAAAAATGTATCCAGTTCACACGAAAATACACGACAAGATGCACGTGCTTGCTGGGCCGGGGGTAGCTCACTCGCTGCATCTCCGGTTCATTCTTTCTTTCCCATTGTCATGAGCTTGGCTCCTCCATACATTCTCGATTCTTCCAAAAAGTCTGATCCACTCCCAATCTTACACACTCCTCCGCGCAAGACCAAATCATGAGGAGGCTCCGGCAGAGCCTTGAGAGTATGGGTATCGGCAAACATCAGGGTACACTTTTGTTCCTTCAACACGTCGAGGGTGGCAGCTGCTCGCTCGGATGGGACACCGCAACCACGGATACCCCCCACAGCAGGAAGGGCAATGGTGGCCCCCATCATCAAAGCAGATGAGATTGCCGATCCCATACCAAAAGCATGACAGAGCGTAATCGATACACAAATCACATCTTCATCATAGACTGCCAGTTGAAACGCAGCTTCTTCGCCTAATTTCAATGCTTGCTCATTCGTAAAAGGACTCGTGGAATTGTAATAGGCGTGTGGCAGGGTCGGATCGGCATCGGCCACCTCGTCCGAGAACTGTTCCAGTCCTCCCTCGTGAATTAACTCGGTGAGGAAATTACCATCTAGATATGGCAGTGGCAGATTGGTTTCGGCCAGGAATCCCTCGGAGGCGGTACAAATGGCTCCTTTTACCTTGGGGTACTTGGTCATACCTCCCAGATCCTTGGCGGTAGCATAGGCAACACCCAATCGGTTGCACGCCAACTGCACCATTAGATTCTCGGTGGTATTGGGAAGATCACTGACCAGCAAATCCTTCTTTTCAAAGCCGTACATGGACAAGAATCCGGCCAAAGCATGGGTTGTTTGCGACAATTCTTGATACGTAAACTCTTGGTTTTGGAAGGGAGATATCAATGCCAGTCGCGAGGGAGATTTACTAGCAGCCGCATCCACTAGGCCTGCAATAGTCTTGATCTTGGAACTGAACATGGTCTGCTGGAGTGGACTGGCTGACTACGGTAGCAAGTACACTGTGTAGTAAGTAACAGAGGAAAGAAACGCTGTTGTGTGATTGCCTTGAGGAAAGAAAGTATGATACAAGAAAAAGTATGATACGTGGTGTCTCAGCGAAAGATGAAGGGCGAGATGATGAAAAAGATCCAATTTTTAGTCGGTTTAGTCGTCGGGATCGTAAAAGCATTCGTAAAGCATTCCTGCACGCGAGGGTGTGCAGGTTCATTCCGGTTCATTCACAGCAACTCTCATCAACGAGGCGCATCGATCGTGGAGCTCGATCCCAAGTGCAGCGATTGCATCCCCATGATGATACAAAAGGCAACCCGCATACCAAAGGCAACCGCTGATGATAGTGCAAGCAAAGCAAAAGCTGACGATTGTTTCGGTCAGTGACAGAAATGGCCTCTCTCATGGCTGCTGGTCGACTTTCAAGCTGGGGCGAACCACAAAGTCTACATCTGTTTCAACAACTTCAAAAGTTACTTCAATACGATTGCTTCAACCAACAGCTTGAATTGAACCCATCTGAATGGCCATCTGAAACGCAGTGGGTTTACTTCTGACGTAGAGGCTTTTTTCCTGCTTCAAGTGAACTTATACTGGTTTCCCTCTGATGCAATCTGACGTCCCCCGCCAAGGCCTGACGCTTCTGACGAGAGTGGCTCGGAGCACAAGAGCTGGTCTCAGCCATTCAATCGTATGATGTTTCTGCCGCCTGAATGGGAGGGTTTGGCAAGTCCTGAGGTTCAACTGTACGAGACGTGCCGAGGCCTCCAATGGGTTCGCTTGTTCGCTTCTTTTGTACCGTACGTAGTGGCCTCGGTTCCGGGTGTGTTGCAGTCAGCACTCCTGCCTGATGCTTCACTTGCTTGTCCTGGCAGCTCCCTGGCCTTGTCTCGTTTTTCTTTGACTGATGAATGCCATGCTAGCTACGTAGACCAGCCTTGGGAAGGGTATTTGAAAGGAAGAACGTGCAAAACCGGTGCGATGCTTCTCACACAACCAAGTTCCTTCTTTTCTATGAGAGCTGTTGAAGCCAGTGAGCTTGCTACTCCTTCTGACCACATAATATGGTGATATTATGATATTCCATTATTTATGGAAAACTTGAACTCACGTACAGGTACGGCAGAGTGACTTCAACTGCAATCCACAATAATGATCTGTACGTCTTCTGACGTGAGAATCGAAAGGCTCCACGTCTTTTCCTGCTCCATTCTCCATGAATAGGCTGGCAAACAATTCACAACCACCCACAAAGAAATAGCAAGCACCGCATAATATCTACCCAACCATCACAGACAACGACGACGGCGACGACGACAGACCAGACGAACTGACAAACCAACAGACGGCTTCAGAGCAAATATCAATGACAATGATGAGCAGGCAAAGCAATCCAAAGCAACACCTCTTGGAATCCTTTAGTAGTAGTGAGGAGGAAGGCGACGGATCTAATTCAGAGTTTACGACTTCCTATGATTCTGATTCGGTAAATCATGATATCGTGCAATGCAATGGGAGGACAGTGCAATTGGTTCGCGGGAGCCACAAGAGAGCTTTTTCTCGTGGATCGAACAGTGTTGTCAGGCAATGCGCAGACAAGCATCGAAAGTTGGAGGCAAATGCAGCAGCTCAGAGGGGCCACGGGTACAGGTACCCTCTTGACCATGAAGCTATCGAAGAGATTCTCCAAGCGGCGAGACCTTTTTATGGCAACGTTGATCCGATCGACGTGAAGATAACCCCTCTCCTGGAGGACGCAATGCAAGACATGGAAGAGCCCAAACGCAAGCAAAAGAACGACGAATCGAAGACCTCAGATTCTGGTGAGGACGATTCTGTGCTTCCGGCATGTCTTCCGAACAGTGCTGTGAACGACCTTGAATCCGTGCACCTTCTACACGTTGTCCAGCCCTCTCGCAATTCCACAATAACTTTCCGAGAGGCACTTGTGCCCTCCAAAAAGCCACGGTAAGTGCATAGCTAGCTGCACATTGACCTGTCGACCCTCTTCGACGTCATTGAAGTCTTACGCTCCCATGTGAACATTTCTTCTTGGATCAGGTTGGTTACCCTCTCCTACCCTCCCTTCATTGCGGTGCACGCCAACAAGGCGTTTTTGACGTGCACAGGCCACATGTCCCGCGAGGTGCTCGGGCTCCCATTACTAAAGATATTGGGAGTTCAGCATCCGACGAAATCCCCAGATCCACCAGAGTTGGACGGAAAACTCGTTCATGTTCCGGTGCTAGACGACGATGAAGTCGGACCCTCTCTTTCGAGGCGATGCATTGTTCGCGTCTCTTTTATCGCGCCTGAAACTTGCTTGCCAAAGAAGACCTACAACGAGGATCCTGCCTATTGTTCTTCGAGCAATGATAGCGGCGGCGATGAATCGTTGGGACCAGTGTACGTTACACACTATGGTGTTGAACTTGAGCCTGCGTCCGAGCGTCAAGACACCCAAGCCGCAAGCGCCGTTGCCGTGCTCCTGGCACTACGAGCATCTCCTGAACCAACCTCCTTCCAAGGCGTACTCGGATGAAGAAGAAGAAGAAGAAGAAGAAGAAAGTAGCCTATTCAAGTACATGTATGCGAGAACTCTGGCTTCATGATGTCATGTTTCATATTGTACATACATACATATTGTACATACATACATGGTGACTTCTGGCCACCATAGGCCCACCGCGAAGATGGCTCCAGCAGCATGTTGCTTCGGCAGTTGCTGCATTGTCTCTATAGAAGTCCTCTGTACGGGAAGGGATGCACGGTATTTGCATGATCAAGACTGCAACTATATTTAGTCCGTTGCTTGTTTAAATTAAATCACCCTTGATTGTACTAGCTAGTCTATCTGTTGAGTTCAGTTTTTCTAGCGACGACCCGCGAGACAGCCGACGTGACGAGTAGATTCGATTCGATTCCAATAGCCAACCCAGCGCACCAGGAAGCTACCGCTGTTCTCCAAAGGCTCTCCCAGCCTTTGGCTAAGAGCGAAGTGGTCGATACCCTACTCTGTGATTTGTTCCTATGTTTCCACCCAATTGAGCATTGCCCCTGCTCGAGCTCCGTGGTTCTCTGTTCCTGCTACCACGCTGAGCTCCGGGGCCATTGCGACGATCTCTGTTGGCCTGCTCAAACCTGGTTGTGGCTCCATCCCTGGCATCCACTCTCACCCATACAGGTACTGTAGTCCCCTCTTCTTAAACCAGGGAACACAAGCTCGGAAGACAATCCAGCTATCATCAGGTTTTCCACTTGCAAGAAAGCATCATCACAATGTACCGTATCATATCTTTTTCAAAACCATATTATTTACACCTATCTATTATTTGTTTGTTTGATTGCTACTGTATATACAATTTCTTGTTTTGTGTTTGCCAGCGCATTCCCTGCGCGGTTAGACATCGATAACGGCGCTCACACCGGGTACTACGATGCGAGCAATTTCCTCGAGACGGCGCAATGCCATTTTGCTGTCGTGATCGCCTTCAATGGCGGCCTTGTAATACCAGAGACACGCTTCCGAGTCGGATTGCGGGACCCCACGGGCTTCTTCAAAGGCTTCTGCCACGGAGAATTTGGAGGTAATGTGTCCGGCTTCCGCCGCCTTCATATACCAGTCGAGGGCATCGGTATCACTCTGAACAACACCACAGCCGAGTTCATAACAGAGCCCCAATTCGGCCATGGCTTCAATGTGTCCTTCTGTTGCGGCTTTGGTCAACCATTCGGCCGCGGCAAAAATATCAATTTCCACATCGTGACGGCCGTATTCGTAGACCAATGCCAAATCGTGGGCGGCATCATAGTCGTGACCCATTTCGTAGGCCGCCCGCAACCATGCCACACCGGCATCAGGATTCTTGGCGCTTACACCGTGTCCGTGAAAGTAGCAATCGGCAATGGCTTTCATGGCGGGAGCAAAGCACTCTTGTTGTGCAGACTCTTCTGTTGTGGTTGGCAAATTGTCGTTATCTACCGGCACATTGGCCAATTCCGAAAGCAAGCGAAATGCCTGGGTAGCATTGGGAGCCAATCCAGCCTTGCCCGCCAGAAGTGCCTGAGCGAGTTCCCACTTGGATTCTTGGTCCTTCTCGGCAGCCGCCATCATGGTGTGAGACCAGCCCTTTTGGACACAGGAAACCTTGGCCAAATCACCCCAGTCGGCATATTCCACCAAACACTGATGCAACAGTTCGGCAGGAAGTTCCACGGAAGATGATGAAACGGGCTGTGATTCCTTGCTGTGGAAGAACAGAGGGGGGAGCGTAGGTTGGTTTGTTGTCGTCGTCATTGTCATGGTAGGGTAGAATCAAATAGAATGGAATCTGATAATGATGAATGGGCAGAGGAATTCAATCGGATGTAGTTGTGTTTTGTTTTGAAAATTGTGAGACAAATCGTTGGCTGGGGAAGTTCTGCTTCCCAGTGGCCAGCTCCCAGTGGAGCCAGGAAGCAACAGGAAAAGACTGCTTGCGTTTGCATTGCATTCGTGGCCCAGCCAATGACGATAATGACGCATCCCTGTGCTGCGTGGTCTCCTGTCAAAGTTGAACAGGCAAGGCAAGTTGAAGGAATGCAATGACCATTTAACACAAGCATGACTCTCCCAAGCAAGGTTATCTCTAACCTAGCAACTCAGAGTACCTAGCTACAGTACTAGGTTCAAAACAAGAACGTTTGGTAATCGTAAATTCGAGCTGAAGAGAGTCACCGGGGAAGAGAAGCGGGAACAGAAGTTTCCAGTGATGATCGCGCAATGTCGAAGTGGATGACCAATGAAACCTCTCTTGCCGCGGAGGTTGTCGGGAGTTGGGAAGCAAGAGCTGAAGCAAGAGTGAATCAACCGCCGATGATGTTGTGCCAAGCAAGTCGAGGAGTCGAGTCGAGTCCTCCGATGCATATGCACACAGTTTCGGTATGCCCCATCGCCCACTTGGAGCTGGTGTACATCTACTCGAGTATGTACTTCCAACTTCCAACGGACCGGACTCTTGCAGAGGAAAAACACATTCAGAACAAAAACACAGCTTCATCTACTGCATGTAGAGTCAGCCAATTTTTGGTTTCAGGGGTAATGGAATGTTTATTGGTATAGTATTGAAGGTATTGTTACTCCTGTTGAAGGTATTGCTACTCCTGGCTACCAACTTATAGGTTCTGAACTACACACCATTGGTATCATATTGAAGGTATTGCCACTCCTAGCTAGCCACTGATAGGTTCTGAATTTCATTACATGGACAAGTACTCTAGCTACTGCCTATGGGACTCTATCAACATTACATGCTGTGGAGGCCCATTTGTCAATCGTTTCTGTTATGTCTCCTCGAGACGACGCTCCTTTTGGTTACCCCCTCAGTTGCACTCTGGAATCGATTTGCCGGCGTTTACTGTGTACATTAGAGTAGCGGCAAGTCAGTTGCAGAATCAACGGTCATGTGTATCGTTAAGTAACAAGTTCCCTTTCGAAAGATTTAGATCGATTCGTGGATAAAAGAACCGTTGAAGTTACTAAGGTTAAGGATAAACTGATTGCCGGCACATGTACGGTACGATGAATGGTTCAAGTCCATCATTGAAGGCACAGCACTGACTTCTCTCCCTCATTGTATTCCTATGGTATTCAGGAGAGAAGTCCGAGCTCGACCATCAACAGGTGAGTTGTTATTTAAATATTCGATAGGTCGCACCTCTATTATCTCTGTTATCCAAGCTTCACTAAAGCCGTCCTTTTCCGGTGCAGATTCGAAAGCCATCCCTCATTGAATTGTATGGACCATGGAATGGCATTCAGTTCTCGGCCCATGACGGCCAAGTTGGTGGAGTTTGAAAAACAATGGTAAGTCGCCGGTTTTCTTGAGCAACAATCGAGAAGAGAATCTCACTGCTATTCTTACTTTCTCTTCGGCTGCTCCTGACTGCCGATGAAATCCCATTGTCGAGTTCTTGTCGAACGATCGAATAGTAACAAGAGGAGAGGCTACCGCTACCAAGAAGACTGTTAACTCCAGCCCTACCAACAGCATGAACGGATCTATCATGTCATTGAAAGGCAACAAGAGAAGGAGGCTACATGACAACGTGCAAGAGAGTGGATCCTCCTACCGGATTCATCCCTCCAGTGTTATTTCCTACTGATTGGTTGGTGATTCATGTGTCCATACCCATGTTCCTGTATGCATAAGTCCTCGAGCGACAAGACGATCGATTTGGTCGTTGTCGTACCATAAGATAGACTAGTAAGATAATAGAACGCAGATTACCAACCAATAGACCATATGATTGCATTAGATAGAACATACCCATTACACTAGTAGAGACCTTGTCTATTCAATAGCATTGCTAGGTCTCTGTTTGATACCCTTACCTCATGCACAGGTAACCATTGTTGCCAATTCAGGAAGAGGGCTTATCAATTGGTAACCTTACCATCGACTGACCTCCCAATTTTGTAACGGACCTCGCTGCTTTCACGCTACCCCATTATGTGCTTCTTAGATGTACGGTAACTAGTGCACTACGCTAAAAGCTAGTGTAAAGATCTTTCGAGTGTTTTTGAGTTTGAGAGAATGAAAGTTATGAGAGAGATTAGAAAGCTACGAAAATTAATCCATGAGAGAGATCGTTGTGAAGCTCATTGAAGTTGGTCTCCCGCGGGAGGCCTCGAAGTGTGATATCGTAGGTTATGGTAATAACTCTACGTACTCCACGGTCCATTTCCGGAACACGTGGAAACTTCAGCTAGTTGCTGTCTAGTAGCGTGGAAGCTTTCCACGCCGGCTAAATATCTAGAGCGATGTTCCATCGATAACCTAGTATGACTAGCAGTCATGAGAACCCTGTCTCAATGACTATTCGCGAAGGACTACGTCATGAGTCGAACTCAAACCCTATCTAGGATCGAGTCATGAATAAGGCTAAGAGCCGTGTATTGCATTGGTGTGCACCGTGAATCTTCCTATCGTGCAATTTGTCAATGGTACACGACTCAGCTATTTGGGCCCTCGGGCTCAACTATTGCCAGTGTAGAAAAAGGTCCTCCGGACCCAATAGGTTGTTGACCTAAATAAGTAATTAAACCCCCCAATCGGCAGCAAGAAGAGACTGTACGCAAGGAACGCCTACGGATCGATCGACGCCGACGCGAGAAGATCGTCGACGACAACGCCAAGACCGATACAAGACCAGGAGACTGTCGCTGCGACAGCAACAAGAGAAGCCCTTCAGGACTGAAGGCATCCGAGCACGGATCAAGACCGCGATGACGCAATGAGAGCGACGACGCGACGAGAACAAGATCGGCCGACGAAGGATCGTCGTGCCAAGAGTTTCATCGGAAGAATCCACAAGGATTGCCGATAGGATAGGAGAAGAGCCGACAGTATCCAGACGGAACTGTCAGAGCCCACAACAGCGCGAAAGCCATAGTGCTAGCGCAGGGGCCAAGGACGGGCACCCAACCGAGGAGTCACTCAACAAAGAAACAGGTTTGGAAAGGCCGCGACCGCACAGTGTGTGAAGCAATCGGGCCCACCCTTACAAGATCTTTTGTTATAGACTTAACACTCCCTAGCCAGCCAGGAGTATAATTTGAAGTTTATCGCCCCATAGCCATAAGACGAATAAGTAGTCGGACGAGAACTTAAAATAAAGAGCTAGTCAATAAAAAAGAACAATTGAAATAGTCCACCTACCGTAGCATAGACATGAGTGGTAGAGGTAAAGGAAGGAGTGGCCGAGGCGGCAGAGGATGAGGAGGGCGTGGAAGACCCACCCCATCGTCTTCGAACCGACAAACAGGTTTATGCAAAGCCCTCGACCACCATGTGTTTAATTTCGGTACAACTGGATCTGGAACGGCAGACCAGATGATACGAACATGGGAGAAGATCATCATCTACGTTGGACAACAGATGGGTGACGACATTAGCAATGAGCTACGGAACAAGACACCAACCGTGCTGACAGCACCGACATACTCAGCGGAGACCCAGGCGAGAATCCGAGCAGCAGCCGAACGACGCCATCAGAAAAACACGCGTCTGCTAGAGGTGAACCAAACCGGCCTAACGTTGATAAGCCAACAGATAGCCGCGGTCAGACAGGACCCGAATCAAATAGATAGGTTCCGAGCATTAACGATAGAAAGAGCAAACACCGTTAACGAAATAGCCGACCTACAAGAAGCCCTACAGAATCCATCGGAAGAGAAACTCCGGGGAGCCGAGAAAACAGAGTATGGAGGACTCACGAAGACCTACCACGGTAGGTTGGCAAAACTCCAAGAGAATAGGGGCAAAGCATTCAACTTGATCCTCGGGCAGTGCACCCGATTATTGAAGGACAAGATGACAAAGAACGCGGACTACGATGCCGTTCTGCAAGGATGAGACCCACTGGAGTTACGAACATTGATCCATAAGACGATCATGGCCCAGACCGACGACAACTTCGTGTACCACACCATCTACCAACAGGAAAAGGCACTGTTGAGTTTCCACCAAGGAAGCCTTACCGCTTCCGAATACCACGAGCAATTTACCACGAAAAAGGACATTGCAAAATCCGTGGGTATCTCTAAGGTACACGACGCAGCGTTGCTACATACGGCTGAATTACTGTATGACGGCACTGAATACGCCGACCTCTCAGCAGAGGAACGAAAGATAGTCTCGGACTACACTGAAGAACGGTACTATAGCTACATCTTCTTAAGGAGGTACCACCCTCTTTTTAGTCACGAGTCGGGATTCGCACCATTTTACTCGAGAAAATCGCGACAACAACAACAAATTAGCGATTTCGATCGCTGCTGTTGGGACTGGCTAGTGCTCTTGTCCTACTCAATTCTGACAGTCGCTACCATTCAGTTAAATCTTCGAAACATAGTTGTTAAGAAGGAGCGACTTGGCTGGACAGTTGCAGGGGCTCCGATCGATAGGTCTCAGTAGCAGCAGACTTAGCGGTCGATTTTTGACCGAATTCAGAGTTAACACTGAACTAAACAGTCTAAGCCCCAGCGACTGTCCAACTGGACGGGGTACTCTTGTTTGTTATATCCCAAGTACGATTTGTATTGGTCAAAGGCTTATAAGAGATCTCTATTCTACTCAACTGATCAGTCCAATTCAGCGAGTTTTTGCTGTTGTTGTCACGATTTTACTTGTTAATCCCAACTCATGACTAAAAGAGGGTGGTACCTCCTTAACAAATAGTTCAGCCGAGAACACCAAACTCAAACAGAACCTGAGGGACGACTTTGCAAAAAGCACTGACAACTATCCCCATACTTTACATGACGTATTACATCTCTTGGACACACACACCAAGAGTAACACCCCACGACAGTCCACTTCCCACGGAAGCTCCTTTGCTCAGACAGCACAAGG